AAGAGAGAGAAAAACTATCGCAAGTCGTTGGGGAGATCTGAAGGTTTGGGAAGTTGAGAAAATGGAACGAATCTACGTCCTAAAGCACTCAACCAGATCGGTGACATCGCCAGCTTGGAAAGTACGCCGAAACAGAGCCACAACCGTCGAGAAACCACCGGAAACATCATCATGAGGAGAGAGAAAGAAGGAAAATTTTGTGAAAACTAGGGTGACGGAGACAAGATCCGACGAATTCAGATCCGGGTCGGACACCACCAGCAGCCCAACCTATAGCAACATCCGAGAGCAACCCATTCATCCTTGGCTCAAGCTCACACCGAATTATCGAGGCCCAATACACACGTGTCGTCCTCCTATTGTGCCACGTGTCACCATCTGCAGTGAGCAGCCCTCGGGTTCAGCGGCTGGAATGGACTCGGCTCACTTGTTCTGCGACTCAAATTCTTGGCTATTCGGCTCGGTAAACAAAATTCAACCCAATTTCCACCGTTCCAACCCTCTCAAACCTTATTTTGATCCTAAATAAGGTAATTGAGGTCATAATGATGTATTTCACACATTTAAGTTGAATTTATATTAGAATTGTAAAATACTAACGAACATCAATGAACGACCTACTAGGAAACAACAACTGGCGATATTTTGAAGCACTTTCGAGGAACGTGAACTAACGTACTCGAATTAGGGAGAACGCTGGCTAAGGCCAACCAAGTAAGTGCCTTTACTGCCGTTGGTTTAAATTGTGTGTTGTAGGATGACACGTGCCTATGGTTTCGCACGTGTCATAGGTCATTTATGCAAACTGTTATGAAATAATATGTAAATGTTGCGATGTGATTGTTATGTTGTATTTGATGAACTGATATGCTTTATGATATGTTATGTTATAATATGATATGTTGATGACATACTCGGGATTATTATATGACTGTTGTGATACATGATATGATATGTGCATGTTATAGAATGTTATGTTTGAAAAATGAAAACGCTATGACATGAATGATATGTTATGATTGACATGCAAAACGAAAAGCTAGCATGAAATACAACCCCGACATACGCATGAAAAAAATGATAAATTATATGAGAAATGATATGAAAAATGATATGATATGTATGAACGCTAGCAAGGTTGTATTATGATAATTAAAATGGAAAAATGTTGGGACCTCATGCAATCGGAGGTACCCCTATTCCTTCACGATAGTACAGACGCGTACGCTATGAGGCAGGAGAACGATCATTATGTTACCATAATGTTGCTGCGACGGCTGCTACTTCTAACGGGTGTCCGACATCAGAAGCTACCAGAGAATGCTCGCCTGACCAGAAAGGGGGCCAGGAAGTTTGCGAACCGATTGGTGGGTCCATACCCGCACGTGCGGACTGTGTGTAGGAAAATTAAGTACACATCCAAGTTGCCCATTAGGATAGTCGCCGTAGAAAAATAGACTATTATGATAGGTCTCATGCATGCATTTGTATGTCCTTGCATTATAACCCCAATAGGGGTCACTTACTGAGTGTTTTTAAATACTCAAGCCACGTGTTACTATATTTTTTAGAGTAAGACAAGGTGCCCCTGTAAGAGTGACGGTGGTATTGCAAACCTCGAGATTGTGGCACATGTATAGGATACATTCGCATTCAATTTAGTAGACTATAGGATAGTATAGGTTAATTACATTTTTTCCATTTAGTAGACTATAGGTTAGTATAGGTTAATTGCATTTTTCCATTTAGTAGTACGTAAGTTAGTATAGGGCATTTTATCTAGTATTATTTTTCGTTCCATTTATTTTCTTTGTATTAGTTTTATTCCAGGATAATAAATGAAGGGTAATAAATGAAGCAAGCAAGTTTGATGTTGATGTTATAATAAATAATCAATAGAGTTAATTTTACATTAAATGTTCAGGATATGTGTACGGTAGCAATCTTAAGTTAAGTAGAAAACTTAGGATCGTTACCGTAAAAATTCACAATACTCTACCTACAAATTCATTTTATTTGAGCTCTATCTATTTAATAGCAAATTTTACGAGAAAGGTCTTGGCAAAAAGAAAGAAAAAGAAGAGGGAGAGACTAAAAGGAAGATACATGGAAGAAAGGGTAATAAATTAGTTGACGATATAATTTGTAGTGCTGAAATCGTCGGACCCAGAGACGAGGAGAAAGATGAGAGTGGAAGAGAAGGGTCAAGTCAGTGTCAGTCATATGACTAAAAATTGATGGATGCGATAAATACGTAAGTGAGTTTAAAGATGAATAATCATCGATAAAAATAACATAGTAAATAAAACTTGAATTGGATTTGACGAGGGAAGAACTCCAAAGATCACAATAAGTAAAATTCAACACATGAGACAACCTAGGTGCGGGAACAAGGCAATCGATGATTAGTACTAGTACTAGTACTAGGTAAGAGAAAGATGTCCTTTTTTATTTAAAAATAAAAAAGAAATAACAGAATAATTCACATGATACAGTCGAGCATGTTATAAATCATATGAAGCATCGAGATTTATTTTTAAGGAAAGAAATAAAGGTAGAGTTGTTGCACTCCACCACATATGGCCCTCTATCTCTTTTCATCCCTTATACCTATCACCACCACCTTTGACGATTTTAGACAATAAAAATATTATCAAGTAAATGTAACCGAGAGAGAGGGAAATCAAACCATTAATTTACTTATTGAAAGAAGATTTTTTGTGATAGGAAAGACAATCAATACATCTACTAAGTGAATATTTGAAAAATAAGAAAGAGTACTAGTTGGTAATGGGTAGAGAGGTCGTCTTTCCTATGATCACGGAGTCCTTATCTGTGTAATTTCTAGACTAATCCAAAATAGATGGATTTGTGGTCATATGAGCTGAAGACACAGTGTTCAAAAACTAATTTGCATCTCGGGTCCAACAATAGAACATGACATGTTGAAAGCTTCGACAAGGTGAATATGAGCTAAGTCAATCCGAGAATACTCCTAGTCGCAGTGATCAGCATAATGGCCCTCTATGCGCATATTTGGTAGCGAGGTGATCAATGACTTTGACCCTAGTGGGTTCATCCTCGAGTGGAAGAGTTGTTGTCGTGGGGATGAGACCGATCTTGCTGGTTGCTACGGGAAGTAGGGTGACTTCCAGGAGTGCAGCCACAATTAGTGGTCGTGAATACCGCATAAGAGGAAGCATGAGAGTAAAAGAAGCGTGGGAAGAACTCAAAACTTTCAGTTTTAGAGACAAAATCTGCTAAATAAGAGAGAGGGGTGAGAGTTATGAGTGCACTTTATCATGTCATCGACGGGTCTACAAATGACATGAAGTCGATCATATATTATTTTTAAGGTACGAGCATACTCAACAATAGGTTTGGTGTCGCATTTCATTAGCTGCAAACCATCTTTCAGTGTCAATGCATGGACTTTCGAATGAAGGCTAAACGTAGTCTCCAAGGCTAGCCAAACGTCACGAGCAGTGGAGAGACCAACAATGACAAACAATACAAGATATTAGCCTATAACCAAGATAGGGTAGTCATCAACAAAATGGATGAAGACTTGTAGGCACAAGAGGTAGATGGTGAGGGTTTCGGGGTCTAGAAATTCGGGAATGACGAAGGAGAAAGGGCTTACAAATATCTCATAAAAAAAGGATATCGAAATTAATCTTTCGATAAGACAATTCGTAGTTGAAGAGGGTCATTAAAAAAAAATGAATATATAAAAGTTTAGAATACTAGAGTAACACTAATTAAAAGAAATTAGTGTTGAAAAAGAAAAAAAGAAGATCCATTGTTTGACATAAAATTAATTTCAAATATAAAACATTGTTACATATAAGCTAAAGAATCTAAAAACTAGAGTTTCCGCCATTAAATTCAATATATGTATCTCTAATATTCATCTTCTAAAAGTTCATACGTAGCAATTTCTAGTAAAATTGTTCATACGTTCCAATCTCTAATATTTATTTTTTTTATATTTTTTTAGTGAGAGGATATCTCTAAAAAGATAGACAAAAAACAATAAGACTCTATCACAAGATTAGATCTTTTTAGTGAGACTATATCTCTGAAAAGACAGATGAGGAACAATAAGACCCTATTCCAAGATTATTTTTTTTAAAGAATTTTTTATTAGTGGGACGATATTTTTGAGAAGGAACAAGCCCTATCATAAGATTATTTTTTTAAAAATTATTTTTAGTGGGACGATAGCTCTTTTGAAAAGACAGATTGCTTGGGACGATAACTCTTTAGCTCTTCTGACGATAGCTCTTCTAAAAAGACAGATTGTCTATCACAAGATTATTTCTATGACAAGATTATTATTTTTAGTGGGACGATAGCTCTTTTGAAAACTTGTGAAAAGACAGATTGCCTAAGACGATAGCTCTTTTGAAAACTTGTGAAAAGACAGATTGCCTAAGACGATAGCTCTTTTGAAAACTTGTGAAAAGACAGATTGCCTAAGACGATAGCTCATTGCCTGGGACGAAGATAGATTGCCTATCACAAATTTATTTTTTTTTAGGGGAATCTCGGAGGTTATTTTTTTTATTTAAGATTATTTTTTAGTGGGACAGATTATTTTTATCTATTATCGATTAGAGTTATTTTTTAAGATTATTTTTATCTATTACCGATTAGATTATTTTTTTTAAAATTATTGAAAAGTTAAAAGTTATATTTATTATAGATTAGATATTTTTATCTGTTACATATTAGATTTTTTTTTTAAGATTATTGAAAAATTATTTTTTTTAAGTTATTTTTTAGTGGGACAATAACTCAGTGGACGATAACTCTGAAAAGATAGAGAGACTTCAATATATGATCGGGGCTAATTCAAACCCTTTGAGTATAATAAGAACCCCACATAGTTATATTCGATTGTTGCAGGCAAAGTCCGTGAATAGTCCGACAAAGCCACAAAATCGAGAAAGCAACACTCGTAGACATAAAATAAGAAACCTATAACAAATCCCACATCAAAATAAAATCCTAGAGAACGAAGATCTCTTTCTCATTAAAAACTATTTCCATTTTTTTTTACAATTTTTCGGGGACACTTATATAATGAACAAGATGGGCTAGCAAATGTTGCAAAACTAGCAACCTTGCTTTGTAAACAAGTTACTTTAAAAAGAAGATAAAAAGAAAGAAACAAAGAAAGAAAGAAAAATGAAACTGCGAATTGCTTCATACGCTTATCTTATCAACATGGTAAACCTGAAAATGCAAGCTGATCATGAAGGAAGGAAGTCTCTTACGGTCACCTTCTTAAGGTAGCTACTACTTCTCAAGGTGGTACCCTTCAGTAAGGGAAGCTTGAATGAACTCCTCAAATTCAGCTTCCATGGTGCGGAGTTCTTCGCTCGCATCGAGATCAAATGCCTCTGGCAAAAAATCAGCAATGTCGGTACTGAAATCATCTTCGCCGTCCATGTAGAAGTCACTCTCTTCCTGGTGTTGGCTGAGCCAGTAATCGCGGTACCATGTCGAGGTTGTGACCAATTGCCACCATTGTGGGGAGAAATCCTCCACCTGGTATGCAGCCGGGATGAAAAGTGGGGCGTTCGGGTTTAGCTTTGATCTTCCATCAACAGATGCTAGAGCCATTGTTTTGGAATGCAACTCTACAATTGATCTACGGACCTTCAGAACAACAAACAAAATCAGCCAAATGTAGAACAGCTACAACAAAATGATTGTATTACTTATGTTCTCATCATGTTTCATCTTGTTTACAGAAGGATTGAAATTCTTTGTCAAGAGTATGAATCAAAACAAAAAAAACTCATATTAGATTAGTATTTATAAGTTTAATTTCTAGAAACAAAATGTTTCATGGCCTTAAACACACGATTAGATACATATACAAATCTGACTCCAGTCATCCAGATCAATCAAAATCAAAATCAAAATCAAAATCTCAGAGCATCCGTCTTCAAATCAAAATTAGGAATTCATCACATGTCACGAAGATTTAAATGTTCAAATCCTAGTTTATAAACAAAACAATTATAAGATTTACATGTTCAAACCCTAGTTTATAAACAAAACAATTATAAGATTGAAGTGTTCAAACCCTAGTTTATAAACAAAACAATTATAAGATTGAAGTGTTCAAACCCTAGTTTATAAACGAAACAATCATAAGATATCCAATCGAGAGATCAGAAATCCCGATCAACGAAGGAGAACGCGTAATTGAAACTCCGATCTAGATAAATTAAACCAAAATAATAAAAAAAAACGTACAAAAAATAATTCCCCTGCCCGCAACGATTTCCAAACCCGGCTCCACAAATCAGATGGCAAACAAAACGACTCACAACAAGTAGATTTAAACATCCATCAATGAATCAAAACCGCACAGATCGCAGATCAAGAAATCAGAGAAATCACAACCCGGTCCATTAAAAAAAAACCCGAATATTCACAATCACAAACATCACCGCCATACTCTCCGCATCTAAAGCAACACCAAACGCACAGATCTAATCCCAAAATTTCCCTTCCGTTTCATCGTTCCATTCCCCCGGTATTCTGAAGATCGAAACGGAAAAAGAAAAACAGGAGACCAAATTCAACAGAAAAGAAGAAGAAAAATTTACCAGATCTGAGAGAGAACGGGGGAATTCAGTTTTGACCAAATTGAAAAACCAGTGGGAAATTTCGCAGTCTTGTCCTCTTCCTGAGAGACTCACAATTTCAACGAAGTCCACAACTGGGGTTACCGAAGTTGAAGAAGAGAGGGCCGTTTTTATAGGGAAGAAAAAGAGATTTATTATTCTTTTCTTAATCTATTTTATTATTTTTAAATTCCTTTCAGGTTTATCCAACTAATCCGCGTGATTTCAGCGGCCGAGCGCGAGTGGGATTTTTTAAAAGCGCGTGTGGTGTAGTTCGTTTGACTTTGACCTATCGCTATCAGTTGGGAATGGGAACATGCCACGTTCGAAATTTGTCTGGTAACGACGTACCTGAAAATTATTGGCTTGTGTTCGTTTTTCATTTACCATTTCGCCCTTTTTTTTATTATGATATATATATTTTTTCACATTTTTTTATAATTTAATCTCTAGGACATATCGACATTGATAAAAAATATTATTTGGCAAAAATTCTGTCGGGTTGAAAAAGATTCACAATTAAAGACTATCAAACTGTGTCTAAAAAATATTGCAACTCGATCCAACCTATAAACCCTCCGATTCCAAGTTTCCTTCGTAACCACTCAAATAGATCAAATTATTATTTGATAAAGGTACTTGAGTTGAAAAAATTTATAACTCGAACAATTAAATTGAGTCGTAAGTTACTAGAAGGAGACAATTTTTAGAGCGTTAAGACCTAAAACTTTAGAAGGTTAGTCAATTATTGTGTCATAATAGATTACTTTAAGACGGGAGAGAGGTTAATTTATTAAATTCATTAGAATTACGATCACTTACCCGTGTTACAAATATAGATTAAGATTACAAAAAAGCTCAAAATATCTTTATCATGTTTACCTTTAATTTAAATTATATTTTTTAATAGAGACCGTCCTAGTTGGGAGGACACCGTCGATGTGGGAAATTTGGATTTATGATATGGCGAGTAAATGTTTTAAATTTCAACTACGACCCATTTTTCATAGGAGTGCTCATGTGATTTGATAATCCGACCAATTCAGATTATCTAACTCATACTATAAACTTAGGATTGGGTTAGATGTATTGTGGATTAGTGGAATTTTTTTAAATAATTAAAAAAACAATCTGGACGGCCAACCCAATGAGCTCGGTTGTAAATTTTATTTGTGTGGTAAGGTTGAGTTGAGTTGTGAACTCTATTCAGGATACTCAGGTCACCATCTCAATCAATAAGCTCGATTTTATATATATATATTTTTAATATATGATATAATAAATATGTTGTTAGTTTAATCTACAAAATAATGTATGTACATTAGTAAATGTAAATTTGAGTTATGGAAGAAATATTGGCATGCATTAATCGATAGAAAAACCTAAAAATGAACGTGGCTCAATGACTCGTCAAGAATTCGAAGATTCTTAGCATGAATATCAAGCATTAAAGATGATAGGATATTAGGATTCTTTAATGATAAAGTAAAATTTAGATAAGGATGTTTTTTTATCTCGAGTGAGATAAGGATGAGAATATCTAGACCAAGTTTGAATAATGGATTAGTATTGATTTGGATGAGTCTAATATGAAGGTAATTAAGTTGTTCACGGTGTTGATAATAGTTGTTTTAGAGAAAATATTGATGGTAGCTTTGTCTTTGTTGATTGAGATATTTTTCTCGAAAGTTGATACACAATTTCTGAGTGAATTTGAAGGTATTGTGATGATAGATATTCTTCGGATCAATCTTTGAAATAGTCCAATTTTGAAGTTGGTGTTTAATCTTGGCTATTGAAAGCTTTTTAGGATAGTCGTATAGAATAGTCTTTATCCGGTCGTCTTTCCATTGCAAAACATTATCCTACATGCTACCTTACTTTTTGGACATTATTGTCATTTGCGTCTTACGGCCTCTCCTTAGGACTTATGGCGGGGCATAAGATACTTGCATTATGGTAGGGAAGACGATTTCAAAGCTTCCGAAAGTATACCTAGATTGTGAACCAATTGGGGTATTATATATTGTGTGCATTTAGAAAGAATTGAATGTACTGTAATTTTAAGTTTGAGGTTAGAACGATATTAAAAAAAAAAAATTGGTCGTTGGAGTATGATAGGGCTAAGCGGAGCGAAAAGGGTTTTCCATGAGAAATTCAAACCAACCCATCGACCTGTAGTGGCCCAAAGCCCATAACTTTGCCTAGATCTACAATCTGCGACCCAATGACTCGTGTCTCGACCCAACTTGCAACCTCCTTACGCATCTCATAACTCAGCAGGACGAATAATTTAAAATGTCGATAGCAGGATTTAAACCTACGCAGGCAAGACCCAATAAATTTCAAGTCTGTCTCCTTAACCACTTGGACATATCGACATTAATAAAAATTATTATTTGATAAAAATTCTTTCAATGGAAAAAATTCACAACTAAGACAATTAGACTAGGTCTAAAAAAATATTGCAACTCTGACCCAACCTATGAACATCTTGATTTCAAGTTTGTCTCTTTAACCACTCAAACATATCAAGTTATTGAAAATTATTATTTGATAAAGGTACTTGAGTTGAAAAATTTTATACTTCAAACATTTAGATTGAGTTTAAAAAATGCCACAATTGGTTAAAGAGACAAACTTGAATACCACAATAAAATACTTACACTACCAAGATTTTCATCTCAAAAAATTCAAAGCACAGATTGCAGTAGTTTCTATAGAGTGTCTTTTAATATCTTCTCAATTGATCTTAATAAAGAGTGCGAGTGTTTCCCACAAAGAGTTGTGTAAAACAATATGATATTAGAGCGAGGTTAGTATAGGTTGTCTGATCTCTTTGAATTTTTAGTATGCTCTGTAGTTACAGCTTTGTTTGATCTTCCACATCAAAAACGATTTATTGAGACTATTAGTGAGTGAATTTTTTTTATGTCGTGATTAGTTCGTGACTCTACAAGTTTTGTATCGAATGAGCTTGTTTGGTATTACTGAGGTGTAACCAACACAATGAGTGATTTCTAATTCGTTGGAGGGATCAAGAAACTCAACAACAACTACAACACATGGGCAACATGCATGAAGTCATATTTACTAGGATAGGACTTTTAGGAGGTTGTTGGCGGGAGTGGAACTACGCCGCCAGGGGAGGATTTTAACGGCGCCTTGCATAAATGGAGAATCAAAACAGACAAAACAATATTCACCTTGAAGACCACAATCGAAGAAGAGATATTATAGCACATTTAGGATGACAACACCGAAAGAAGCATGGGACACGTTTGTGATGCTGTTTTCAAAGAAAAACGATACAAAGCTATAACTTCTAGAGAACGAATTGTTATCAATTTCACAACTTGACATGACTATTGCTTAGTGCTTCGACAAGGTCAAATCGATCAGTCGGAAGATTACTGAACTACACTCGAAGACCGCCATTGGAGAAGCTCGAATGAAGAGGATCATTATCCATGGATTGCGGCCAAAATATATAAGCTTCGTTATTGCTGTACAAGGACGATCTGCTCAACTATCACTTCTAGAGTTTGAAAATTTGTTAGCCAGTAAAAAAGCCATGATTAAACAAAATGGGAGGCATCATATTAAAGGATGAAGATGAAGCACTTTACACAAGTGAAAGTTGAAGTAACAATAAGTCGTCTTCCAAACGTGGATACAAAAATGGTGACAAAGCGAAATCTACACAAGTTCTCCTTCTTCATCCTTCATCATATTAAAGGATAAAGAAGGAGCAATTACACAAGTGAAAGTTGAAGCAACAAAGGAAGAAGCCACCAATACACTGCACAACTAGGGAGAGCTTAGACGAATGACAACAAGAGCTCTCATGGAGAGAGATTTGAAGGTATTTACTACAATTGCCAGAAGAAGAGCTACATGTCCAAGGATTTTTGGTCTAGGAAAATGTTTGTTAAAAGTAATGTGACATCCTCCAACATGGAGATGGAGAAGGAATAAGATGTAGAGACAATATGTGTCATAGAAGAAGACGAGCTAGTGCTCATGGCAATGATGGAAGAGCACAATTATGAAAATGACTGGATCATTGATTCAGAATGCTCAAAACACATGATTGACAATTAGAGTGGTGCAATGGAAGCGGGGTGTTCTTCATTGAAGAAAGTATTACCAGGCATGGACAACATTGAAGACATTCTTCCATAGAAGATGGGGGAGCAATCTGTACACATTTTCTTAAGTGTTGTGCCTGGAGATCCGAGTGACACTAATGTTAGTGAGCAAGATGTGACTCAATCAAGTGAACTCAGTGAAAAGGAAATGACATCTCAACAACTTAAACAGTCAGAAAGAACCCTAAAGCCAAATCCAATGTATACCAATACAATTATTATAGAAAACGAATTTAAAGAGCTAGAGACGTATGAAAAAACATCACACAATACGGTTTAGCAATAAGAAATAGAGGAAGAAATTATAGCCTTAGGAGAAAAATCAAACTTGGGAACTAGGGCCAATACTAGAAGATGTCAAACACATCTCTTGCAAGTGGGTCTACAATATAAAACGTCGACTGGATGGATCAATCAAGAGATACAAGGCTCGACTCGTAACTCGAGGATTTTCTCAACAATATGGACTAGACTATGATGAAACATTCAATCCAATGGTGAAGAAACTGTGGCAGATGAATGTGAAGAATGTTCTCTTGCATAGAGAGTTAGACAGGGAGATTTTTATGAACCAACCAAAGGGATTTGAGAATACAACTAATCCTAATTATGTATGCAAGCTTAGAAAAGCTCTTTATGAATTGAAGCAAGCACCGAGAGCTTGATATGGTAAGATTGTTAAATTTATTAACCAAAGTGGTTATTAAGTTGCGCATGTGAACGCAAGCTTGTTCATCAAAGAAAGAGAAGGAAAATTGTAATTTTTTGGTCTATGTGAACGATTTGATTATCACTAGAGATGACGAAAGAGAAATTTATCAAACAAGAGAAAATTATCGATATGTTTTCAAATGAAAGAGATAGGAGAGCTTAAACACTCCTTGGGCCTAAGTTGATCACACAGATGAAGAATTGTTTCTCTACCAACAAAAGTATATAAGTAATATGCTTTAAAAGTTTGGCCTGTTGGAGTGCAAGCAAGTTTCAACAACGATT